GAAAAATGATTGAAGGGAGGATATTTTTGGGTAGGAAGTGAGTGAAAAAAAATGTGGAGTGCCTAATACAGAGAACAGTGGAGCAATTCGTAATCTAGGCACAATAGCAGTCGAAAAGGAACTGAGAGGATGGGTGGGAGCTACTCCCCATGAAAGAAGGGGAGGGGCTTCTACCTATAGAAGCTTCCTGACAACATGCTCTGCACAGGTGCAATAGCCCTATGCATGATACACAGAGACCATGAAGAAGGACTAACCACGTTACATTAAATAATATGGTTATCACCAATAAATACTTATGAAAAGAGATCTTGTGAGTGAATATAAACTCATGGGGAACATTCGTTTAGATGTCCATCAAATTCCTTGATGCTACTTGCACACATTCTTGCGGAGTTGATCTATTTGTTACACATCTCAAAGTAGAATGGACATTTCCACTATTATTTTTCATCATTTTCTCATAGCAAAGCTGTCAATCGTAACACAGAAGTATGACTTAGCCACTCTTTCCCCTTGACACAGTTTCAGCTCTTTCTAACATACTACAATATTTACTGGCTTCGCATTACACATGCTGCATTTATGAAGAATATTTCAGATGGCATACAATTGCCCAGTTCGGATTTTAAAAAAGCATCAATGCTGGAAATTGTATATACAGTATTTTGTATTTATGCTGCTACTACTAGAAACTTGTATTTTTCATATGCAGTAACACAAAAGAGAAAGACTGAACCCCTAAACACACTGTTCTTTATCACAAAGGCAATTATGGACCATTCCTATGAAATGGCTAGCTTAGTGGTCACCTGTAGTCAGCAGCAGAGGGAAACTCTCACAGGAACATAAGAAGGCCCTGTCAAATTGGACAAAGTTCTTCACACAGCAAGCACATAGTTAAACTATGGAATTTAGTGCCACAGAAATTAGCAATCACCACTGAAAGTGGATTGAAAAATTAATGAAGGCTATCTTAATGGCTGCTAGTTTTGATGGCTGCATGCCAGTTCTGGTACCAGAGGAAATATGGCTGCATACATCATTGCTAGGGAGCTTTGGAAGAAGAAGCTCTTCTTATACCCACTCTGCTTGAGGGATCCTGCAACCAGCTGGTTGCCCACTGTGTAAACAGATTGCTGGACTGGATGGCCTTCCTGATGTTCTTATTCATCTCATCCAGCATTGTGCTCAGACCAGTGGCCAACCAGCTGCTCACAGGAAATCCATAAATAGGACATGAATGTAACAACACCCTCTCACCAGTCCTCTAGCAACTGGTATACAAAGACTACTGTCTCTGATACTGAAAACAGCATATAGTCATCAGGCTAGTAGTCACCGATTGCTTATCTTCTGTGAATTTGTCTAACCAACCTTTAAAGCCATCCAAATTGGTGGCAACCACCTCATCTTGTCGAAGTGAATTTTACAGTTTAATATAGCTATGTGATGACACTAAATAATGCACTGTGCCATAATATGTACAGTTTTAAATGTCCAATAGTTCTCTTCAGGAATGCAAGACACAAGTAGTCATGTGTTCTAGAAGCTGAGGGTACATACTTTCTGGATTACTAATTTCTAAAAAAAATCTAAGAACCAGTGTTTCAACCTAAAGGCCTCTCACCCATTTCTTTAAAAGGAATGGGAGGACAAGTGAATTAAAAGATTAAACCACTGATAGTGTACTGGACAGGGCCAAGAGGAACCTAACTGAAAACTAAGGAAGCTAGCTAGAGAAACAAAAGGCCCACAAAGTCCCATGAACTAGTAGAACTTAAGACATTTTTTATTTGCCTTTAAAGTTCATTAAGACTCCTTAATGCATTCTAAACTAAAGATACTGAAACCACTTAAAGCCAGGATACACTTGCACTAAGTGCAAGTTGGTGTCCTTACCCAAGGAGAAGGTGAAGGGTCTAGAGAGGATGCCATCACCTCCCTGAGGAGATAAGGAAGTTGGAGCAGTTCCTGGACATTGCCCAGGTGGTCCTCCAGGCCAACCAGGAACAGCCCCCTTCCAGACTGCAAGAAGTTGGAGGGACCACCAAGGAACCAGCTGGGGACACATGGAGGAATGTCACCTGCAGGAGATGGAGGGTGGCACCACCAACACCACCCTCTCCATCGCCTGGCACTGACCTGAGGCTGAGAAATCAATTTTCTCTGCTTGAGCAGGCTGAGGCAGTTGGTGCCCTGGGGAACTGGCCTGCTCGGCAAGGCTGTCTCAGGGTCAGACATGGTGAGGAGCGACTGCCGGACAGGCAACTACCAAGACACAGCCCTCTATCTCCACCAGGCAAAGTAGAAAGTGGGTTATCATAATCAGGGATTCCTTACTAAGAGGTAATGAGACTGCAGTATGCCTGCTGGATCTTGAGGTGAGGGAAGTCTGTTATCTGCCAGGTGCACGCATCCAGAGTGTGACAGACAGCCTGGTGTGTCTTCTTCTCCTGGGGAAGTGGGGGGTCATCAGCCACTTCTGGTGATCCATGTGAGGACAAACACCATAGCCAGGCAGAGGCTGGGTGGGATTACTCAGGACTTCAAGGCTTTGGGCAGGAGACTCAAGGGACTGAAGGTTCGAGTGGCCTTTTCCTTGCTCTTGCCAGTCTGTGGACATGGGCCAACCAGGAAGAGGAGAACTGCAGAAACAAATGACTGGCTGAGGGCATGGTGTCAGAAGGAACTTTGGGGGCTTCCACGAAAATAGGTCCTGCCAGACAAACCTTGAGCAATTCTATGACAAGGTTTTGAAGTGATGGGGGGGGGAGGAGTGGGGGGGTATGGTTTACCTGGATCTCAGCAGGGCCTTGGAACAAGGTCCTGCATGATATCAGGCTTGAGAAAATGACTGTCCAGTGAATTAGGGCATGGTTCACAGACTGCAAGCAAAGGGTAACTATCAGTGGGGAGTCATCAGGATGGCAGCGAGTGATGAGCGGAGTTCCCCAAGGCACAGTTCTGGGATCGATTCTGTTCAACCTCTGTATCAATGACCTGGAGGAGGTGGTAATCAGTCTGCTGACCTAATTTGCAGATGATACCAAAGTGGGGACAGTGGCCAGAACAGAAGAGCAGGCACTCCAGATCCAAAAGGACCTGGAGAGACTGTGGAAGTTGCAAGGGACAAGATGACGTTCAATACATCTTGGAATCAGGAATAAGTGTCATAGGTACAGGAAAGGGGACAAGTAGCTGGACAGTGACACTTGTGAATGGGATCTTGGGGTACTTGTTGAGAGAAAGCAGCAATATGAGCAATCAGTTTGATGCAGTGCTTAAGAGGGCGAATGCCACCCTTGGATGTATAAGCAGAGACATGGCTTCCAGACTGAAAAAGATGCTGGTACCACTCTGGTGTGCCCCCAACTGGAGTACTATGTCCAATTCTAGGCTCCATTTTACAAGAGGGACATTGCAAGGTTGGAACCAGTTCAGTGTAAGGTCATAAGGATGGTAGCTGGATTGGGGGGATACCCTATGAGATGTTATTGAGGAAACTGAGACTGTTCAGCTTAGAGGAGACTCTGAGGGACTTATGGTGGCATACAAGTATGTGAAGCAATGTCACATGGTGAAGGATTGTTACCTATTCTCCCTTGTGGTCCAAGATGGGGGACAAGTGGCTGGAGAGCATCACTTGTGAAAAGGAGCTCAGGGTATTTGTCGATACCAGGTTAAACATGACCCAGCAGTGTGATGAGGCAGTTAAGAAGGCAAATGCCACCCTTGGATTTATAGCCAGAAGCGTGGCTTCCAGATCAAAAGAGGTGTAGATGCTGTTCTGTAAGACTCTACGGCACCCACAACTGGAGCTGCTAGTTCTGGGCTTCACATCATAAGAGAGACATAGCTAGGTTAGAATTAGTTCAGCACAGAGTCACAGGGTGGTAGCCAGATTTTTTTTTTTTTGAGTGGGGGATGACATATAATATGAGACTGAGGGAGCTGGGTCTTTTCAGCCTGGAGAAGAGGAGACTCCGCAAGGATCTTATAGCAACAAATAGGTATGTGAAGGGGCATCACAGAGAGTCATGACCTGTTCTCACCTGCAGTGGAGGAAAGGATGCATTCCAATGGGGCAAAGCTCAAGAAACTGGGCTTCAGGTTGGGTATCAGCAAGTACTTCCCAATGGTTAGGACCCCTAAGATATAGAATGGGCTTCCATGGGAGGTGCAGGGTGGCATCAGTGAGGAAAGATTGGACAACCATGTGTTGAGTATTGCATGAGCCAGCTGGAGCCAGGGGTCAAACCAGATAGCCCAGGAGGCCCCTTCTGATTCGCTATGTTTCTATGTACAATTAGTCCAAACAAAACAGATCTATGGCTCCTACATATTGTTTTTGCCACCTCCTTGACATGTGCCTACTCTACAGAATTTTAGCAAAGAAAGACATTTCCACTATTTAATTCATGAGCAGGAAACGCTTCCCCTGTGAAATGGTTGAATGTCAAGCTGCTGTTAAAGGTATAACAACAGGGCTACTGAAAAGGTGTCAATCTTTTCCCACAAAAGGGACACAAAAAAATTTTAGAGCAACTGTTTCCACATTCAAAAATGTAGGTTAATTCCAAAATATGCTATTTTTTGAAGACTGTATACTGATGGTTAATTGGTTTACAGGATCAACTCATTCAATTTGTACTTAATTTTTAAATCATGTGTTGACATTAAACACAGGTAGAAATGTGCAGGTTGTGTTTTCATCAACTGTTAGCAATCAAGCCTTGTACTGAAGAAAAGCCCACCAAGTGCAGGGAAAAAATGTTCTGAGACACAATTTCAGCTTTATATAACATCCAATATTTCATAATGCTTATTACACTAGTGAGGTTCATATTGAATATAAAGTAGTATGTGTACTGTACTTGGTGTAAAGAGCATTTACTAAGAGTCTCAAGTTTCTTTGTGAAGCAGGCAGAGCTTAAGGTCTACATTTCAAATGTTTATTCAGTTATTTTTATAAAACGAAGATTTGGATGAGAACTTACTGTAATGTTCCAGTTGATCTGTGGTATTCTTGCATGGAGATTTAGACTGAACATAAGCAACAGAACTCCTGTAACTACCGATGCACTACAGCTGACAAATTCAAAGAAATAAAGGCCTTCACAAGGGGAGCATTCCATGATGGTCTCTATGCAGATGAAGGAAATCAATGCCAAAACCTAGGGGGAGAAAAGTAAGAAAATATAAATAGTTCTACAACATTCTGAAGAGAATCACAAATGATCCCAAAATATGCATTGGGAAATTGATACCAAAGAATGTGCAACTTCAGTAAGACACAGAATTTAAATGAGGAAATCACAAGCTGTTTATATAGCTGAAATGCCAAAGCGTATTTTAGTACTAAGGTCACAATCTTATGGACATTTACATGAGAGTAAGCCCCAAAGAACTCAGGGTTCCTTCAATCATGGAGTACAAATGAGCCACAATGCTCTTGCTACTTGCAAGAAACCTAATTATCCTCACCTAGCATAGGTTGTCATGATAGCTGATCCTGGCAAGGGGGGTGGACGGGGTGGCTTACACACCACCCTGAGACTCATACTTTCCCTAGATTTTCAGGCTGTTTATAAACCATCTCAGTCCTCCACCTTCACCAGATTCAAACATCATGATGACCTGAGTCCCACTAAGCTAATTATGCTAATTAGGCAGCATGTGATGAGCACACACAGGAAGGAAAAGTAAGCCACAGTGGCTTATTTTCCCTCCGTAACCATGCATACCTGCCACGTAGGATTGTAAGAACTGTCACTAGCTCCTGTTTCTACTACTGCAGAATATACATTCTGTGCCTTCATTTTGGGTTTTTAAAAGGTATTCTGGAATTCAGAATGATTTTTTCTCAGTAGTATTATGAAAATCTAGCTAAATTCAACAAAGCTATACAAAAGCATTAATGTAGGAAAAAGAAAAAACGATAATTTAAGAGATGAACTTCAGAATCTGTGAAACACTATAAAATATAAACCTGATGCAAGGATGTTGAGCTCATGACAGTGAAGACAGTATCATTCTTGAGATGTTTCCAGATGAAGCTTCCTAGTAAGAGTTTAACTGTGCCATCACCCTGCCTCATTCATGAGATTTTATGGGGGTGCAGGTTGTACCTCAAATTATCTTCTTTCATTTGTAGGTGTTTTTTCACTATTTCTTCCATCTTTTCTCTTATCTCAGAAAACCCATTAGGGAGAGAAATGCAGAATAGGTGTGCAATGTCTTTTGATTTATTGTACTAGGAACTATCTAACTGAAAACACCTTTGGTTTTCTTTAAAATGTGGCTCGTAATGGCCTTCCATACCTGGCTGATTGAAAAATCAGGGAGATTATACTACATAGCAGAAGTGAAATATAAAAGTATTCTAACAATTATGCTGGCTGGGGATGAAGGGCATTGTAATCCAACAAATCTGGAGAGCTCTAGATACAATTATCTCTTACAATACTATAGCCAGTAATATTTTCCTCACTACTGCATATGAGAAGATCTATCCAATACACTGGCTGGGTTCAGATAACACAACAAGCCACGGTAGACTTTTTTACCATCGTTGGTCTGTTGTGTTGTCTAAACCCAGTCATGGTATTTCATCATAGTAAGTCTGGTCTCTAGAAATCATGATAAGAAACTACAGTTTGTTCTATAGTTTCCCTGTTCCACCATGGCTTGTCATGTTGTCTGCAGTCAGGGTCACAGTTTCCATGGTCTTGCCATGCAACTACCATTGAGTCCTCTGGAAAGAATGGCAACTGTAGTAGCCACTCCAGCCATCTATTCTCTATGTGTGGACCAATGAGGAGGAGACAGGGAGTGATGGCACCTTGAGATTGAATTTCAGGTGCAGTGGCTGAAGGGATGCATGCCAACAGTGGGAAGACTGAGTGGGAAGCATGGAAACCATGGTAATTAGAAACCACTTGAATGTCTGTCAGGCAGATCATGGTAAAAAACTGAAAAATAATTGGTAAAATACAGAGCTGCTTGTGTTGTGTGAACACAGCTATTGTATCTCATTAACTACTTTATTACTGAGATGCATTAATTTATTACTGAAATACAAAGATATATCAGAATAACAGACATCTGCTATTGGCAACACTGCCAGCTATTCTCTTATCTTCTTGGCCTGAACCGCAGTCAGGTAGCCAACAGTTTAATTTGCACATAACTCATGGGTTGTTGGAAGACACATGGGAACTGCCCACTTGCTGCTTTGCATCCCATTTCCCAAACCAGATGTTTGATGCACTGTCCAAACCTGGAACTCTGGATTGTTCAGGGACAAACAACTTATGGTTTATTGTTGACTTAAAATTCTGGGTTACTCGTTCAGCAACAAATTCAGAGTCCCAGGTTATGATACTCCATCAAACATCTGGTTTGAAAATGCTAAAGTAGCTAGCTGGCAAGAGGCACCATGTTTGCTCATTCAGTCCCATGTTTTTCCTACTAGTTAATGAATTTAACAATCAATGAACTGCCATTACAGCAAATAAGGCCAATATGTGAGAGACATTAATTAACTGATTTCAATCATACTCCTGCAACACCCCCCCTTCCCCAGTTCCAATTTACTATCATTATAAACACAACTCGCCTGGTCTTTCATTTGCTTTCACATGACTTTCTACCCTTCATTGCACCTATAAAAGGAAGAATTGTCCGATGTCTCCTGGGTAACATTAAGTCAAGAGATCACAGGACATTTTCCCCTCATAAGTAATGTGCCAAATACAAGATTCTATGCTATTCTCTGATTCTAAGATTGCTGAACAGCATCCAGGTTTGATCTATCCAAGTAAATTCATGTCCCATGGAAGGAGGACCCAGAGCAAAGCACCTATAAACCTTAAAGGATAGAGAGGACTTTCCTGAAGATAAAGCAGAATTATTCTTGCAGCATTGCCTGCACAATATTTTAATCATTTTAAACTACATATTAAGTGTTCATCTGAATATTGCAACTTAGCTTTGCTCGTTTATGCCAACAAGAGACATTTATGTCATGAAAGGACACAGCAAAGAAAAGAGAAAGGCACCAGTTGTCACACAAAAATGAGAGAAGTAATTCTCAAAGAGTCTTAAATACTTATTCTGCTAAAGCATTTCAGAAATATATTCCCTTCTCCAAGGGCTTCTAAAAACACCAAGAGCATTTACAAAAAATCACTATTCACATTAAAATATTTTAAAAAGAGTAAGACAACCCATTTTCAATAGCATAAGCAACTACAGACAATTTATCACTGATAAGTACATTTATAAGACCTATTAAAAAGTTTACAGTGTTTGCATAAGTTGGACTCTATATTTGAAAGGTACACTAATATGAAGTCACTAGATTAAAAAGACTTGAACCTATCTTTTCAAAGAAGTGGGTGGATGAAATATTTAGTTGTGTGAAAGAATTAATTATTATAAATATGATATTTATCAGTGATAAGGGACATTTCTTCAAGTTCATTGAGTTATAAAAATGGTTCGCTGTAACATTTATATATTTAAAATGTTTTAAATATATGTAGAAATCCATTAGAGCAAATGAAGTCTGCAATCCAATATGCATACACAATCAGAAATCAGCTGCACTAAGTTTAACAGGATTCACTCCCAAGTAAACATACATAAGATAGAGCTGCAATGGATGGTAAGTTCACAATACTGTCAGTGTTTAAGAAAAATGAAGAGAATGTATTGCAATTTAACCTCAGCAGAAATTTCCACATAGAAAATCTTGCTGCCACTACATTTTCTCTAGTGAATCAGCTGTTTTATTATTTTTTTAAATAAAAAGACAATGTTACTGTGAAAAAAGGTTCCATTAAAAACATTCTAAAAAGCAGCTTTCTTATTTATCTGAAAGGGCCCACAAAAAGACTCCATATGTGATTCAATAATTACTCATGATTTCAGAAAACCACTGAATAGTCCACATTTTTCCCTGCTTAAGAATACCCATAATATTTTACTTAGACTGACATACTACAAGGATTTATTAATGACACAATGTAAACAATTGTCATATACAATATGGAACTGGGGGGATGCTTTTACATCTCCACAAAAATGTGTATTAAAGACATTAAACCCTCTCTCTCTCACACTCAGAAGTTTTATTATTTGCATTTGAATTGGCCAATTCAAAGAAGGTCTCATTCCTTGTAAACTGGGATGCATTTCCCACATCTAAAACAGCTGGAACAAATGCAAGCATTTTCTATAAGATGGCTACACTGTGCTATTGCTTCTCCAAGAGGAAACTTTCAGCTACACATCTTGTTGATTGATTTCCCACCTGCTTCTATCAGACATCCCTAGAGGTGGACTTGGACACATATCTTTATGTACTAAAGTCCACTTTTCGTTGTACCACTGGAGTTCTTTATCATGTGCACAGGAATCCAAGAAAAGTTAATGCAGTTAGTTCCTATAGCAGTGTAACACTCTTACAGGGGCCACCCCCACCCCAAAATCACCTTTATGTGTGATACAGAATTCTTCCTTATTTTTAAAAAATGGTATGAGCCCACCTGCTTTCAGGAGATGCCTCACCCATGTTTTTAGATGCAGATGTTAAATTTTACCAGAAAAAATTGCTAAAGGTTTGAAATGAGGCAAGTAAAATAAAGCCCAAGTACACTGGCCATGATCCCTCAGCCATACATTGGAAGGGCTCCAGGTTGGAAAACCTAGACTAAGAAACTCAACTGTAAGTTCCAGTTAGACTTTAGGCACCTTCTACTTGAGTCCTGTTTAAGATTTGTCATAAATAAATATCAAGTATCCAACTACAAGTGCCAGAGTGGGAGAAGAATTTTAATGATGAAATAATTAGTAGTACAGCATGGCCTGAAAAGAACCCATCAGAACAAGAATTTTAATAGTTCAAAGGAAAGTATTCACAATTCAAAGAATCCCAAGTTTGCAGGCTGATGTTGCCTTAGATGCCATGCCTTAAAAGGCAAAATAGTCTAGACATTCTGGAAAAACAGAACTTAAAAAAACCTCAGTCACAACACTAAGAACACTCTCAGCTGTACCAAACCTGCTTAATAGTTTCAGGCTTGCCTTGCCATTTTTAAGCCAGTCCAAAAACTGCATTAGAAACCATTATGCCAAAGGGAAAGCAACAAAACATAATTTGACCAAAGGT